ACATTTTATGTATTTTACATTTATTACATATTTCGAGGTATCGCGTAACCCGTATACATCATTCAATGTGTACATATATTACAGCGAATTTTCTGCACTGACAACAAAAATGACTAATTCGAAACAGTATCAAGATCGGCATCATTTAATAATGTCGACCTTCGTCCAACTGAAATGATTAACCCTTTGCACTCGAAGCCATTCTAACTATAAATCTGAATTCATTCTTCTGGCTTATGGTATTTCTATTTTATATGACAAAGCGCATTTTATGCATATCAAATTTAGTCTTGTGACTCATACAACAATTAGACTTTTACCAATTTTTTGTATCTAAGCTTTTACAATATAAAAATTATCTTGGAACGTGATGTAACAATTTCAGTGGTGCCTCAGGGTCACCACTCGAGTGCAAAGGGTTAAACAAGGAATGGAACTTCTAAAAGTTTCACATCTGTTTCTCGCAACGGACCCAACAAATTTTTATCTTGCATAATGCAACGACGCGTATCCGCACAATTATACTTCGCGGTCCAATAATAATTTAATGTTATAATTTTATCCGTCGCATCCGGACGCTGTTCTATCGGACGTCGTTAAAGACTCGCGAAAATGCGGCGAATTATTATAATAATTCTAATTTATTATAATATTCTTTTTCTTATAATATATATATTTATTATATTAAAATATTCTTTTTCTTATAATATTTATTATATTATAATATTCTTTTTCTTATAATATTTATTATATTATAATATTCTTTTTCTTATAATATTTATTATATTATAATATTCTTTTTCTTATAATATTTATTATATTATAATATTCTTGATTTATTATAATAATTATAATAACAAATTACGGCGCGAAACAGCAGAAAAAAACCGCGGGATATACGCGAATGCGAAAGCGATGATTTCTAAGATATGCCCTGAAGAGACCCGGCCGGATGGTAATGAAGCGTCGCTGCCTAAAAAAATCGCTTTATAGCTCGTAAATCGGCTAGGGATGGCCCTCGCCACCGCCGATACTCCCTTCGGTGAGAAACCTCTCGTTAAGGTGCGACCCTTCGGTGGCGTTGTTACGCGTCGTGGCTTTACGGGAAGCGGCCATCGAACCTCGTCTCGAAAATGATCGAACGCGAGAACACCGTGGCAACTAGCGAGGTGCTGGGACAAGCTTATTTCTGCGTGACTCGGGTAATGGGGGACGCGACGTCCAATCGGAGCGAGCATGGAACCGTCGGGCGAGGGTTAGAACAGGATCCAATATGGCGGCGGGTCGGTTGCTGGAGGAAATCGAGCGAACGAGAAAAATAAGCGACAAATTATTTGAAATACTGTACACTGTAACTATCGTCGGCCATTTTGTTCAAACTGAAATGGGTAGCTTTAGAGAAAATAGAAAATATTACGTGAATAATCGATTAACCCCTTGTTGCTTCATTTTGATCAAACTGGAATGAGTAGCTTTAGAAAAAGTAGAAAATATTACGTGAATAATCGATTAACCCTTTGTTGCTTCATTTTGATCAAACTGGAATGAGTAGCTTTAAAAAAAGTAGAAAATAGTACGTGAATAATCGATTAACCCTCTGTTGCATCATTTTGTTCAAACTGGAATTAGTAGCTTTAGAGAAAGTAGAAAATATTACGTGAATAATCGATTAACCCCTTGTTGCATCATTTTGTTCAAACTGGAATGAGTAGCTTTAAAAAAAGTAGAAAATATTACGTGAATAATCGATTAACCCTCTGTTGCATCATTTTGTACAAACTGGAATTAGTAGCTTTAGAGAAAGTAGAAAATATTACGTGAATAATCGATTAACCCTCTGTTGCATCATTTTGTTCAAACTGGAATGAGTAGCTTTAGAGAAAGTAGAAAATATTACGTGAATAATCGATTAACCCTTTGTTGCATCATTTTGTTCAAACTGGAATGAGTAGCTTTAAAAAAAGTAGAAAATATTACGTGAATAATCGATTAACCCCTCGTTGCATCATTTTGTTCAAACTGGAATGAGTAGCTTTAGAGAAAGTAGAAAATATTGAATATATAATTAATTAACACCTTGTTGCATCATTTTATTCATAGTTACGAGTAACATAATCTGAATGACGCGATACGAATGTAGTTTATATAGTTACAAATAATTTGTGCAAAGTAAAATGTTTCTATGTCAATTGTGAAAAACCG